TTCTAAGTTGCTCTTGTCAGGTATTTTGATCACAGTGATACAAAGCTAACTAACAGAAAATGTCACCAAGAAGTAGAGCTGTTGATGTGACTACCTGTTGCTGTTCAGAAGCCTCTAAGAGTTTGGAAAATTTGGGAAATGCATTCAAGAGAAGCTTTAGAATGTTGTAATGTTGAAATGCAGAATGTTCTAAGTAGAACTTAATGGGTGATTCTGGTGGGAGCTCAGAAGACCAGAATGCCAATAGTGATGCAGACAGTTAAGACTGTGTTCAAAAGATATCAGAGGGGATTGAGGACTCTACTGGGAATTCAACTAGAGACTATTCATGTTACACTCTGGCAAAGAACTTGGTTACATTTTATCCATATCCCGATATTTTGTATGAGGCTAACTTTAAAGGTGAAGGGATAATTAATTTGGTGGAGAAATTTCAATGTAATACAGAATTCAGGCATGAAATGAGTATTGCTGACTGTTTTTAGCCAGGTTTACTRTGGGAATCAGGAATGGAAGGCAGAGAGGAAAAAACTGAAAAACTTACAGTTTGGCCAGAGATTAAGTACATGTATGATTGGGGCTAAAGAAGGCATGGTTGCTAAAGAGATTTCTGCCACTAAAAAGAAGCTAATTTGTAAATACAATAGAAAAGATGTCTGGTGGGCATCTCAAGCATCATCAAGACCACATTCATCACAGTTTCAAGGGTATAAAAGTAAAAACTCATTTAAGAGAATTATGGGCTCTCTGTTTATGCAGGGGTGCCCCAAAAGGAAATTGTTTCTCCAGGATTCATTTCACTGTAACTAAGCTGCCAAGGCACTCAGAGACCACTACAGCTATGGCCCAAAAGGACCTGGCTACTGCTCAAACTAGTAGTAGACCTTGACATTGTCCACATGGTGTTTCTTCTGCATGGATGCAAGATACTAGAGTTAAGGGATAAGTAAAGTTTTCTTTGAGATTTCAAAGGAAGACCTGGGAGGTCAGGTAACATGTGGCCAAGCTCTAATCCTTTTAGGCTAAGCAGGTGCTGTTTGACACTGTAAGAATGAAGCTGAAGCTTGAATGGAGACCCCAGAGATTAATAGATGCCAGTAATGTGGAATGTCTGCTGAGGAAAATGGAAAATAGCTGGCTATGGACAAAGGAAGCCTAAGAGAAGGCCACATGGGCGTCTGTCAGAAAGGCAGAAGGGCTGCCCAAAACCATTGGAGCTCAGATCTCATGGCCATATTCCCCAGATGGTGGGCATGGAGCTAATGGACTTGTTTGCCCAGCTGGATTTTGGTCTCGCTTTGGTTCCAGTCTTTCTTTCTAGATTCTCATTTCCCCTTTTGTAATGGAAATACTTACTCTGCCATTACATGTTGAAAGTATATAACTTACTTTTGGTTTGTACAGAGGTTTACCACCAAGAGTTTCCCTGGACTCTCAGAGGAGACTTTGGACTTGGACTTTGGGGCATTGCTGGAACTGTTCAAACTATGAGGACTCTTGGAGATGGGCTAAATACATTTTGCATTGTGAAATGGACATGAGCTTTGGGAGACCAGTGAGAGAAAATTATGGTTTGGATATGAGATATCCCCCCAAAGCTCCTGTGTTAATTCAAGAATACTCAGAGGAAAATAATTAGAATATAATAGCTATAATACAGTTGTGGATTAATCCATTTGATGGATTAATAATTTGAAAGGACTACTGTACTGGGTGGTAACTGTAGACTGGAGGGGCATGACTGGAGATGGGTCACTGGGGCCATGCCCTTGGAGATTATGTCTTTTCCCCTTGGCGTCTCCTTTTCTCTCTCTGCTTCCTGGCTGCAGTTTTGCTTCACCATGCTCTTCTGCCATGATGTTCTGCCTCACCTTGGGTCTAGAGCAATGAAATCAGCCAACCATGGACTGAGACCTCTAAAATTGTAAGCCAAAATAACTTTTCCTCCTCTAGGCTATTCTCATCAGTTTTTTTCAGTCAAGATGATACAAAGCTAACTAACACACATATTAAACATTAGCCAGACACAGAAAGACAAGTATTGCATGTTCTCTCTCACATGTGGAACTAAAGCATAAATAAATGCAGTTGAGCTGAAAGAAGAAGACTGGTAGGTACTAGGAAGAATACAGGGTAGGGGCAAAGGTAGAACATGGGATAGACATAATCAATCACAGTGTATGGATATATGGAAATAACATAGTAATCCCACTGATCTGCATGTAGCAGTATAAAAAAATAAAAAGAGACTGCTTTGGTAAAAAGTGTAAAACCTAAGAGCTACTAAAAGGGACAAACAATTCCTGTACAATTCCATGCTTTACATGCTTAAAGAATAATTTTTCTTAAGTATATACTTCTTTAAGAAATTTCCAAGTACCACTAACTGCTGCTGTAACAAACACTGCCAGGTTTGATTTGGTCATTTTACCTATTTCTCTGAATCGAACTTACTAGATTAATCATTGTCACATGAGGCTTCTCGTTTTTGCCAATTATGATTAATCATTTCTGCCCAGTTTTAGACAGTAAGCAATCAGAATCTGAAAGATAAAGAAAAGTCACATAAGACAGACTGAAAATTAGACAAGTGAGTGCCAATTTTCAGCTAGAAAAAGACAAACAAAGCCAAAAGAATGCATTTGGCCGCTTGTGTGGAGATTTCTCAAGAGGTACCTAAATTAGATGTTGCAATTCTTGCAACATGTAGTTTATAATTAAACAAAAGTGGTGTTATTGCAAAAGCAGAGATAAAGTTATAAATTTAAAAAAATAAAAGAATGAGCAGGTCTTAAACTAATGAAAATTCATGAGAAATAATCTAAATATATTTTTGAATGAACTAATCATCATAAGATGATTGAAATACCATTTTAAAAGATGCAAAAGTATATTTAATATTATCTTTAAATAAAACACTAATATATTAATAGTTCAGTGGGTTTCTGGAGTTCTCGGTACTTTTTAAATTTTTTGTACTCACCTAGAATGTATTCCCAAATAATTTCCAATAAAAGTAACATACATTTTTAATTAAATTGAAAAAAAAAAACCTAGGAGTCAACCCAAAGGGAAAATTTAAAGATTTAGTCAAAACAATAATATAATCCTTGAATAGCATAAAATTGTTTATTCTCCCCATTAATGTTGCAGAATCTTCTAAGCTTTACCACGTGGATTTCAATTGACTTTACAGAAATATTTCTTTGATCTTGCATCAGTACCTTTTCCAACTAGCTGTACTCTATTTTATGAACCTAACACTCATATCTTTTCTTTTCTTTTTTTTATTAGAACTTTAGGTTATACATAGTAGTTGGATTCATCCTGACAAACTCCAAACTCACACATGCATGGAAATCAGTTTCAGTCCATGATCTCCCTGTTCCTTCCCTCTTTTCYCTCCCAGGGTCCCTCCCCTCTCCCATTCTCCTTCCATTGCTCTATTAGATTTCCTTTCACTCATCAATGAATTTATATTTTATTGGTTCTTTATATTATCTTGTCCTTCCCTCTCCCTTTYCTTTATTTTACTCTAGTTTCTACATATGAGAGAAAATATTTGACCTTTGAGTTTCTGAGTCTGGCTAATTTCACTGAGAATGATATTCTCTATTTCTATCCATTTACTAGCAAATGTCATAATTTCAATCTTTCTAATGGAAGAGTAGAACTCCACTGTCTATGTATACCACAATTTCTTAATCCATTCACCTATTGACAGGCATCTGGTTGATGTATTTTGTATATAGTTGGAGGATCTGACTAAAAAATGTAAGTGGTTCCTATCATTTATTGAGATTTGGGGGAACTCTGCCTATATAGTTAAACCTCAGTTAATGAACTGATAATGGAATTCTAAATCACTTATCTGTGAGACCCAGGATACAGGACTGGATTTAAAATCTTCTACTAAGTTCCAAACTTCAATAGTTCCATTGACCTCCCCAATGGTTATAAATTTAGAGATGCAGAGGAGAAAAGTGTAATAACAAGAATAAAGGCTAAGATTAATGCACATTACCATATGTTAGGTGTTATGGAAAATTCTGCACAAGGATTATCCTAATCTCAAGCAATCATGTGATAGAGGGTACTATGAATCACCACAACACATGTAAGGAGAATAAGGCTTAGGGAGGTAAAATAAATTTCCCAAGATTAAATAGCAATAAGATCTGGGTAAAGATTTGGTTCCAAAAACCTGTGTATCTAACCTGAACCTAAGCCCTTCCTGACAAGAGGACTAGGGGTTGACCCAATTCCCATAAATGATCACTATCTGTGTCTCTCTGGGCCAGTCACAAAATTTTCCTGGGAGTCAATTCTCTCTTCTATGAAATAAAATTATTGGATTCCATGACCTCTAATACCACTATGAACTCCTAAGTTATATTATCATAAAACATATCAGTTGTGTAATATTAGAAAGAACTATCTAGAGGAAATCTACTAACTCATTGATTTGGGACAAGTTACTTAACCTCTTTAGTTATTTTCCTCACTTAGTATGTATACCAGTGCTTCAAAAAGTGTGTAATTAACATATAAAGTGCTATACTATCATTTCAAAATTGTTGTACAGCATTGAAATTAGGGATTTAAGGAATTATACTAAATTGTCTTCTCATTCTTTATTTCCCTTTTTATTTACAACCTTAGAACTGTGGTATTTGAAGGCAATGATTATTTATAGTAGATTTCCAATTTTCCATTAATACATGAGAAAGTTGGAAATGCACAAAGAACATAAATAGCACTATGAAGAGGGAGAAAATGTGTCCCTTACTAATACTGTAAACCAATTCTAATGAAAAACAACAGTGGAAAATAATCTATATACCTTGGCTCTTTTGAATTTGGACAAGTTAATGATTAAAATCTCCCAGATTTTCCACTACATTATGCCCAGAGTGTCTATTTGCCTTGATTGATGATAATTTTATCTCTTTTGGGCCAAGGATAACTGTCCCTTGCTTCTGTGTAGAGATTAATAATTGATTAGCTCATAGTCAGAAGTCTTAGTAAAGGGAACAGGTAACTTTTGGCTATTGTCTTTTACATAGAAGCCTACCAGGGACAGGAGGTGCTGCAGGATTCCCAGGTGGGAAAATGAAGAGAGTCTTGGTTTTCCTGCTTGCTGTAGCATTTGGACATGCTCTTGAAAGAGGTAAAATTTCTCTTGTTGTGATTAATAAGTATTATGAGTTAAATTTTCTATTACCCCTTTAAAAATTATACAAAAGGTGAGAAACAGAAGAATTGGTGAACGTGTTGGGGAAGAGAAGAACCAATTAACAAGGGATTAATGTGAGTTCAACTATGCATATACTATTGAATTGGAATAGCAAAAAAAGAAAAAATAAGAGTCTCATGAAAGAAAAGAAAATGAAATTATATAATTTATTAACTATCTCTTTACTCTTTTTGATAAATAAGATCTGAAGAGAATGGTTTGAAATTAGAAATGTGTTAACTGTTAAAAGATAATGCCACTGGAGACAGATTCATGACTAGGCATTTCAGACCTCAAATATTGATCCCTATTAACAGCATAATATACTATGTCAATAATGCATAAAGTCAGCTAAGAGATTTCTTTGATCCTCCTCAAAGAATCATATACATGCAGTATTTGAAAATGCATTACTATTTTTCAAATACCACCCACATAAGAATTTTCTGACTATGAAAGAGAACCATAAATAAGATAATTGAAATGTTTTTCATTGAAATTGTTCTTCCAATAGTGTCTTCATTTTCAGGCAGTCTTTAAAATATTTTGTTAATGATGCAAACATAGATTGTGTGATGTATACAACTTCTTGAATTTCACAGCTAGGGAAACTTCCATATCAGTTTCAACTTACTTTTCTTGCTAGATTTTAATGTTTATAAGAAAATTTGAATTCATCCTGCTTTGTAAAATAAAAATTTCATTTAGGCTGTCAGTTAATAGCCTCATCCAAGTCATATTCATTTTAGTAATTTATTTAACCAGTGGAATAAAAGGTGTTTCACCAGAAATTATCATTTTTTACCTGTAATATGTATAATCTCTATTTGATTCTTATGCTCACTTTTCCTTGATGTTGCAACTTTCATACAAATTATTTTGAATTTTGTCATATTCATCTACAGATCCTTAATTAAGTTATAAGTCCGTAGGTGATAAAACAGAATATAAGAAGGTAAAATAAATTGTGTGGGTAATTTACAAGGAACTCTGAAGACTTCTTCCTTTGCCCCAGATTTCCCTGGGGAAGATTTGAGCCTGAAAAATCCTGCTGAGGCTGGTTCAGATCAGAATGTATGAACACAATGGTCCAGTAATGGGCCAAGTCTTGGAAATACACATGAAGACTAAACCTGGGATGTGAGTTACCATCTTGGACTGCTGACTCAGTATGTGTGCATAGGCTTCATGTCAGAATTACAGTTCTTTGGGTATTTACAGAACATTCTGCAATCTCTATTTTGACATTCTCAGCAGACCTAGTCCCAGATGAAATGGATACTCAAAAACTCAACTAAGCTCCCTTAACTATCTTAACTTCAGTCTTACCAAGTCAGATGATATTCTGAGACACATAAAATACATTTGTAAGTAACAAATACAAAGTATTTAGGATAAGTTCTACCCACCAGTTCTCTGAGTTGACCCAAAGACCAGGTCAGTGATGTACCTGGAAGTTATGTGTACTCTTTCCTAGCAAGAAGTTACAAAGTGGACAGATAAAGAGGTTCAGCAGACTCCTGGGTTCCAAGCAGCCTTATAGGGTGAGATTAGTTTGAGTTGCAGTTTTTCTCTGCCTGTTACTATTCTAGAGAGCTGATATCTCATGGGTGTTCCTTTGAATTTCTCATAGCCCATATGGCTTAAGTATTACATCCTAGTGTAAATTGAAATATAATACCAAGTACATATCTTGGGGAAACTGGCATTTTCTACCTAAATGATACTGCCAAAAGGTCATTATTAATTTATTTATCCAAAAGCCTCTATTTAACCTTACTAAGATAAATGGAGTGCTACTGAACACTTAATACAATCTAAATCACAAAGCTTAGTACAAAATATCACTGAATGCTTAATACTTATGAAATGTCCCATTTAAATTACAGTTTTTATACATGCCTGATAATGAACTCCCAGTTTCTCTATGGGATTTAGTAAGAAACTTAGAAAACTGTATCCCATTCAGGAAATACAAATCTTGCTAGTACTTTAATATACTAGATAATTGCTGTATAATTGTTTAGGCCTTTTAAAAAATTTTTGAGTTTTTACCATAAAGAAATGATAAATGTTGGAGGAGATGGATACGTTTAATTTGATTTAAACATTGTACAATGTATATATGTATCAACACCATACCCCACAAGAAAAATTAAAATAAGGTAAAAAAATTCACAAATCTAGTTTTTGTAATTATAAGAAGAATGATTATTAATCTTTAAAGGAATGTCTACCTAAATCCTATCATGTCATGTTTAGTCTGCTGCAATTAAAAGACATTTAAATGGTTCAGAGGTTCTGCTTGACAAAAATCAGGCATGATAATAGGAATATAAATGACTCCTTGCCACTAGATTGCATAATTTATTTTCAGGTTATATAGGTATAACTTTAACAACTATTTAGCTACACATAAATTAATAGGAAACAGTGAAAGAAAATTATTTGTGTGCATTATTTTCTGAAGACTTTTTAAAGTTATTTTTAATTGATAAATCCATTAATAGAACATAATGTGACTTTGTTCATTTGTTTAGTACCAGAAATTGAACCCAGGAGTGCTTAACTACTGAGCCACATTCCTAGCCCTTTTTATTTTTTATTGTGAGACAGGGTCTCACTAAATTCCTTAGGCCCTCACTAAGTTACTGAGATTGGCCTTCAACTTGTGATTCTCCTGCCTCAGCATCCTTAGTCACTGGGATCACAGGTGTGTACCACCCCACCCAGCTAAAATGGAATTTTTTTTAGGCGTGTGCATATACACAATGTAGAAAAATTACATCAAGGCAATGAATACATGCATCATCTCACTTGCTTATCACTTTTTGTGCTGAGGCATTTGCAATTTACTGTTATTTTTAAACATATAATACATTGTTGAGTATAGGCACCCTACTTCCCAAAAGATCTCAGAACTTATTCCTCTTATCTAACTGAAACTTTGCACCTTTTGACCAATAATTTTCCATTCCTTCCTGCCCGCCCCCGCCATCCTACAGTAGTTACTGTCCACTAGTAACCATCATTCTACTCTTCTATGACCTTGGTTTTTTTAGATTCCACCTATAAGATCATGCATTTTTCTTTCTGTTCCTGGCTTACTGTAATTGTCTGCTTGGCACAATGTCTTCCAGGATCACCTACATTATTGTAAATGCCAGAATTATCTTCATTCAGAGAGCTGAACAGTATTCCATTTTATATGCTTAATACATTTTCTCTATCCATTCATCCATTGTRGATGCTGAGGTTATTTTCATATCTTAGCTTCTGTGAATAATACTACAATGAACATGGGAATACAGAAATCCTTTCAATATATTGATGCCAATTTCTTTTAATACTGGATCATATGACAGTTCTATTTTTTAAATTTTTATTTATCTTTTTTAAGAGAGAGAGAGAATTTTTTAATATTTATTTTTTAGTTTTCGGTGGACACAACATTTTTTTTTTATTTTTATGTGGTGCTGAGGATCAAACCCAGTGCCCCATGCATGCCAGGCGAGTGAGGTACTGCTTGAGCCATATCCCCAGCCCAGTTCTATATTTTTTATTTTTATTTTTTTGAGAAACCTCCATACTATTTTCCATAATAGCTGTTCTAATTTACATTCTCACCAACAAATTACCAGGGTTCCCTTTTCTCCATATTTTCCCAAACACTTCTCCTTCATATTTTTGATAATAGCCATTCAAACAAATAAAGGTGATATCTCATTGTAGTTTTCGTTTGCATTTCCCTGATGATTAGTGGTATTGAGAACATTTTTCTTATGTCTATTAGCCAAATATACCGATTCTTTTGAGAAGTATTTATTCAAGTCATTGCCCATTTTTTAATTTAGGGTGTGTGTGTGKGGGGGGTGTTTTATTGAGTTTCTTACTTATTTAGGATTTTTTTGGTTGTTTTGGTACTGGAGATTGAACCCAAAGGCACTTCAACACTGAGCCACATCCCCAGCCATTTTTTGTATTTTATTTAGAGACAGGGTCTCACTGAGTTGCTTAGGCCTCACTATGTTGCTGAGGCTGGCTTTGAACTCATGATCATTCTGCCTCAGCCTCCTGAGCCACTGGGATTACAGGCTTACCCCACAGCACCCAGATTATATTGGGATTATTAATCCCTTATCAGATGTATGGTTTGCAAACATTTTCTCCCACACTATAGGTTGTTGCTTTCTTTCCATTTGCTGTACAGATTTTTAATATAATGTAATTGTCTGTTTTATGCTTTTGTTGCCTGTGCCTTTGAAGTCACATCAAAATAATCATTGCCTATACAGTGTTGTATAATTTTCCCTTGCTCTTTCTTTTATAAGTTAAGCAGTTTCAGGCCTTACATTTAACTCTTTAATTCATTTTGAATTGATCTTTTCTAAAGTTTTAATTGAGCTAGATAGTGTATGGCTAACCATGAAAACAGAATCACCGCCAATTCCTATTTATATCACCTCATCACAGGAGTACAATATAGAAATACAACTTTGTCCTCCCTTATCGAATGACAATTTCTTAAGATTTTATAATACATCCTTGATATAGGCTTTTAAAAAACTACACGTTGTGTCTAAAACTGTACCAGGCATCAAGAACCTCTAAATTAAATATGACCTTTTACCAGAACAAACTTGAATAAAAAATAAAAAGTTTTGTTTAAGGGAAACATAATTAGTATTGACTTTCTTTACAAGATCTATCAGCAAATGCCTAGCAAGTATTACTTCATGTCCCTGTCTCTACTGAGACCCAAGAACTTGACTGAGACTTTCAGTCAAACCACTTGCCTTTCCCTATACCAAATCTTTTTTTTTTCTTTTAATGAGGTGGGGTGGTAATAAAGAGTAACCATCAACTTTCCCAGTACTGGTAGTCATAAATTAAAAGTTCAGAAAAGCATGAATAATGACTCTTCAACACCATGA